AATGTGGCCAGAAATCTGGACCACATATATATATATAGTAGCCCAATGTCTGTGACTAATGCTGAAATGCTGGCTGTTCCCTCCCGCCGTGGTGCTCGGCTGGTTTCTGCGCCGCTCAGCCGGGTCGCTGTGCAGGAGCAAGCGGCACAAGCAGCCATTTGGGGTCTGTACTCCCCACACGGCACAGAGTGTGAGGCAGGAGAGGGAAAAGAGAAAGAAAGAGACGGAGAGAGAGGCAGAAGGCGGAGGAGAACAGAGTGAGGGAGAGGCAGTAGGAGGAGGAGAGAGAGAGAGAGAGAGAGAGAGAGAGAGAGAGAGAGACACACACACACAAACACAGAGCGAGAGACTGGAGGCTCAGGAGAGAAGACCTACGTGGAGGAGAGACCTGAAAATCCCGTTTTATGACGGGCTAATTGGCTAGTGATGCAATACTTTATGCTGCACAGACGCCCGACTACTTACTGCTAGGTTGGTGTGGAATGGTGTCCTATCATAGAGGACGGAAGAAGACAGGCCTTCTCAAAAGCCTTGTGAGAAGGATTAAAGAATTCCTCTACAAGAGCTTTATGAAGATGCACAGGAAGGATTACTACTGTCTCCAGAAACAGTGGTTCCAGGGACTTCTCCAAGCTCACTGTATAAGCACAGTGGTACACACAGATCACACCCAATTGCCTTAACCCACTTTTAGCAAAATTAAATGTGAACTCACCAGAAGTGCTCTCCCTGGGAGCAGTGCCCGATAGACGTCTTGGAAGGAGGAAATGGTCTCCAATGTGATAAAAAGTTCTTGGTTCTCAGTGACATTGGTTGCCCCACTCGCCTTCTGAGCGTTCTCCTCCCACTCCTCCACCATGCAGTCCTCCATGCAGTTGCCCAAGGCTGCATAAGTGTTTTGGGAGGAATCCACGGACTGACTAGGAAAACTGGTCGGTCCCCCCACACCAGGATCAGATGCTGCTGCTTGTAGAAGCAGCACATGTGCACAGATAAAGGAAGCAAACTGATGGTCTGGAGTTGTCTTTGGTAGGACTGCCTCAGCTCCTTTATTTTCACTTAACACTGCTGGGCATATCCTCTCTCCACCATGCCCTTTGCTGTTTAAAGTGGCTTCCCATGAGTACTGGCTCCCACCTGCCCCTCAACATGGAATTGCTGTGTAATTACTGAAATTTACATTTCTCTTGCTGCTTCATAGTTCTGAGAGAACAGATTCCTCTTACCACATAGCAATGAGGTCCAGGATCTCTAGCTCGCTCCATGCTGGGGCTTATCTGTGACCTTGGAAACTCATGTAGCTCATGGAATGCGAACTTGTGGTCATATGTGCTGCTCAGGTGTGCTGCCTACTCTGAGATCTGCACACCACACAGGAAACTAAATTCAAATTTTCCTGGAGCTTTTCCTGTCCACCTAGAGAGCAGTAGAGTTGAAAGTCGTGGCCAGACCAGTCATCACAGGGCACTGTGGGACACTTACCAAAAACGTTGATTTTCACAGAACTGCATCTGCACTACCTCAAATCCACCATGCAAGACTGAATTTAGCGGTTACTCCTTATGAAAGCAGGAGTACAGAAATCAACTTTAACGGCTCTTAAAGTCGACAGAGCAGGTGCGGTAGTATTGATGCATTGTTTAGAAAATAGTCCTAATGCGGCTAAGTTCCACGTAAACTCCCAGTGTAGACCAGGCCTGACTTTTCTATAGAACAACTCTCAGGACTGGTCTACAGACAAGTTGCACTGCTCAAACAAGAAGATGTAAAAGTAATTGATAAGCTTTTATTCTTCCAAGAGATCCTTCTCATGAAGCAGAACTCAATAGACTAGTAATGTTAGCCCTTGACTGCTAACTCCCACAGCAGCCAGCTATGCTGAGGGCCACAGCGGGGCCAGGCAATGGGACCCAAGTTAAAATGGTTAACCAGTTAAGCGCTATTGTTTAACATCCCTACCATAAAGCATTTATTTTTGCTTTGCGTTCCTAAGTTAATACTTTGAGTTAAATTGTCAGCATGCCAGTTTCCAAAACACAAACTATTAGTGTACTCTTGAGTATAGTTCACTAGCACTCAGATCAGCGCTGTTCTTGGGTTAAGACAGCCAGAATCTTATTGAGCCAAGTAGAAAAGTTAGATAACATGTCTATCACCCCTGCTAATATTAATGTGAGGAGAGCAAGCCAGTTCAGAACCAGAGATTCCTCCTAGTCTTTCAGTTTGGTAACTAGAAATTAGAGATTATGTCACAACATTCTGCCATGCTGAAATAGTCAGGGATCATACACTGAACTTACCCCCTATCAATAATTCTCCACAATTGTATTTTTTGCCACCATCAATGCTGGATTTACAGGGTTGGTAAAACAAGTAAAAATGTAAATAATCTGTGCTTCAGTGTGATAAGAGTACAAAAGCATCTGTTCTGCACCAAGCCCCACAGATTAAGCACAAATTACATCAAGAGAAAATTTGTTAAATGTGTCCAGGGAACAAAAGGACTTCCAGGAGGAGTGAGCTTTTATAGGGAGTAGGATGCCAGTTTAGCCTAACTAAAGATCTGATCTGACATAACACTTCTACGTATTGTCAAACTTAGTACCCTCTGATAAACAGTAAGGATGTTAAGCAGCGTGTGGTTTGTTAGTCGTGTAGTGAAAAAAATTGTGTCAGCTAAATGATTAATCGATAAGGGTTAGCACAGCAAGCACTCAGTCCTGGCTTATGCAGTGTCTGGCAACTATTTCCACTGCGGCTCTGCACTAAGAGCAGAGGAACCAGCAGGAAGGCAGCCCAGCTCATGAAGGGTCCTGGGAACTGCTCCTAAATTACTTTACCTGAAGTGCTGCAGCGGGGGTAGCTCCCAGTTCTGGCACGAGCTGGGTCTAAACTGGATTGCTGCCCACAGCACCTAAATTACTTTTTATGCAGAGCCGCAGTGGGGGTAGCTCCAGGACCGGCACAAGCTGGGACTGAGCTGCGCTGTTTGCCAGCCCTCAAAAAATGTATTTTTGGCAGGGCTGTGGGGGCAGAGGGTACATGTAGTCAGTAGCATTAACTGATAAACTTTCACTTACTGGTTGTTTAGCCACCTTCATTATATCCCTAATAATCAGGCTACATATATTTTTCTTGGAGCTATGAATAGGAGATGGAGCTGTCCCTGAAAAACAAAAAAACCCTCACTTCTCAACTTCAGAATACTCAATTACATATTCAATTGTCTTTCCAATGGACTAGCACACAAAAAATTCAAGACTGAAGTAACCAATTTCTAAAATTCTGTTTAAATTATCAGCCTTAACAACTGTACTCCCTTCCAATGCAGACAAATCATGTACATCTGAAGCATGGATAGTATAGTTAATACAGTTTATACTGTTAAGTAGTCCAGAAGCTAAGAAATATGGAAAATAAGAGTAAACAGGGAAACTCCACAAGGAGTAATAAACATATGGAATAAGTTAACAAGGAAGGCAACTGAAACAGAGGATATAAATAATCTCAAGGGATACTCAGCCTAGTTTGTGAAGGCAGAAGGGAGTGAAGGGGTATGATGAAAAAAGCAGGAAGATGGGATTAAGAAATTATGAATGTGCAGGAACATAGAAACAGGAAACCGCCATCTGGTACTAATATTTATGTTCTTTTGAATTAACAAGGACAGTTTAAGTATTATCTGATTTGTGTTCTGGCAGGTTTCTCAGAGCCACGTAACAGTTAAAAAAGTGCCTTTTATGTCCACATTAGAGAAACAAATCCACACTTCTGCCTAGCAAGGCTATTCAGCAGAGGCTGCTTCCCACATGCCTTCAAACTTCCAGACTATGTTCAGACTGCAGCAGTTCCTCTAGTTGCCATCTGGGTAAGATGTCACTAGCTTCATTTATCAGCACTGCTTTCATTTCTGTGCACATTAAGCTCAAGCCTTTCCAACAATGGGAGATCAAGTTTTGTATTTATTTTGCTTAGAAAGTCCATTATGTAACAAGGCCTGAGGCTACCAAGTTTACTCTGTGGGCCACTGAAGAAGGGTGTCATTTAATGGGTCACAAAGCAAAGAAAGCCACAACCATGGCAAAAAGACCATTTTGCCTACACCACACACAAAATACACATTATATTCTATTATGGTCATACTGTCACTATCTAGAATCACAAACACTAATCCAGACCGATTATCATGACTCCGAGGTGGAAGAAATTGCTTTTTTCGTGTTCCAGAGTTCCTCTAGTGACTCCTCAAAATACAAAGCATGGTGCATAACTATGGTAGGTTTATATAATTAAGACAAGGCATTGGTGTGTGATTTAAAATAGGAAGATCCCTTTATTTGTGGGAAACTGAGGCTTTGATTACACTTACAATTTTAGAAGTGTAGCCAAGGCACCTCTTCCAGCACTCTATGTAAACCACCTCCACAAGAGCAGTTAGCTAACAGCACTGGGAGCCCGGTTCACACCGGTGCTCTACAGTGCTGTAACTTGCTTTGCTCATGGAAGTGGGAGGGGAGGGGATGTACAGTGCAGTGAAGTGCCATTGTAGACTTAGTTCTACACTTTATCATGGCAGACTTAGGCTAACTGATATCGGTATAGAAAAGGCACTGTTCCAGCTTAGCGTAGTTATAACACTGATGGAGAAAACAGCTGCCCCCCTATATTGACTAGTGCAGGGACACATCAGTCAGTACATAAGGATGCAATATGTTAAGGCAGCACTTTCACTGAAGGATACAAAGACTACATCAAAACAAGATAGGCTTTCAAGTCACTTATCAAAGGAATTGCAGCTCCTGCTTCAAGAAAGGTAAAAAAAGCAACAAATATTATTCCAAACCAAGGGAGACCAACTAGAAGAGAACCTACTGATTTTCTCTGTTATGTGTCCTTACTGTTCAACAAAAATGCTGCCATAAAACTTGCATATTTTTTCAGTCCTTTTCCAAACTGAGTCCTGGCTATTAGTCTTGTATCTGCATATACGAAAGACTCACCTAGCTCTGTTGGCTTCAGCAGTTCATCCAAGGTGGTATAGAAGGGAAGTTTCACCAGCCGAACTTCAGGCTTTACAACTTTGGGTGGTAACCTTCCCAGTCCATTAAGGTATTTCCCATAGAGTGCTGGATAGTCAATGTTAGGAGTGGAGAGAGAAGTCCTAGCAACAGTGCTCCCTCGGTCATAGGAAGAATGTATAGAGAGTGCCTCTGGAGGTCGGTGCTGCTGTGGCTGCCCTGATTCAGAGCTCTTCTTGGCATAGCGAGTCTCATAGAGCTCTTTAATTTTCTTGAAAACTTCAGGGCTACAATCAAACTGGACCAGCTGCAATGCTCTAGTGACCAGCTCATGTTTAAGTCCACTCTTACTCCGGCCAACAAAACCCAGTAACATCTGAAGGTCTGAGACTCTGAAACTCATCACCATGTTCTAGGAAATAAAGGTAAAACATTAAAGTAAAAGATTTTTAAAGTTATAAAGAGATCAAGTGACAATTCTCTCCAGAGTCTATACCCTAGAACTCAAAATATTAAAATTTACTTGCAAGGACTGACACCAAGCCTTCTGTTTCAATGGCATGCTGTTCAAGTGATTAATGTGTCATGCATTTGACACTTGTTTGTGCAATGGCAATATATAAGAGAGAAACTGAACATTCGTCAGTATACACAGACCTGAAAGCTGTGACAAGCTAGTCACTAAATTACCAAATAATTTGTGATAAGTACAAAGTAATCTCTTGGTAACAATTGGAAACAACTGCAGTCCCAGGGACACAACTTGCATCTGGTTAGTGGAAGAGCAAGTGTATCGGGGTTATTAACTACTTCTGCCCACATCTCGCTTCCTTCAATCTGCTCTCTTGTGAACAGGACCAATGCTTACTTCTGTTAGGGTTCTGAGGGAGCCCAATGAAACTACCAATTTTCAGTCTGACCCTAAGGTTTTGAACAACACTGAAATTGACCACTTGTCAACTTCACACTTCTGCCTGGGGTGAGAGCCAGAGAGCAGTGAAGCACAGCAATGATCTACACTTGGAAGACAGTCTTCATAAAGATAAGACCAAGAAAATATTAATTAAAATTAATGCTCTTGTTCTGCAGAGATTGATTATTGACGCCTTCCTCATTGCCAAAAAAATTTCACACAGACCCAGAGTGAACAAAGTGCTTTTCGAGCCCTGAAAATATGTTTGAACATTTGCATTTATCCTTGCATCTTGTTCACAGTTTTCAAAAATATAGGAAAAATCTTCTAGAACATAAATTCTACATGCCCAGCTGTAGGTGATGAAATCAGACACTAGGGATATAAAATCCCATTAATTGGTTAACTGATTAATGCAGAAGGGAGGGAAGGGGGCTGAGGCCAGTCGGGAGCAGTCCCTTCCCCCTTCTTCAGCCTGACCCAGCCCTGTGGGGGTCCACTGGGGACAGAAGCAGCCCCCTGCTGGCAAGGAGCTGCTTCAGCCCTCCCTGGTTAACAGTTAACTGGAACTAGTAAGCATGACTGTTAATGGTGTCCCTATCAGGCCCTAAGTCTTTTCAATATTTATTTCCTGATTATATGGAAAATAAATATTGAAATCAGATTATTAATTTACAAAAAGAGGTTGAAGATAACATTCTTACTGTCAATGAAAAAAATTGACAAGCCAACTTTTAAAGGAAAAACAGCAACTGAATTAAATCCAGAAATATTTATTAACAATATTGGGGGGGCATGAAATTCAACACAGGCCATGTCTACACTATGGCACCGTAGCAGCAATAGCGCTTCTCCTACACCAGCATAACCCTGAAATGTAGACAGCATTCAGTGACAGAAGGTATTTTTGGTCACTGCAGCAACACTCCCCTCCCTACTGATGGAAGCATCCTTCCCTTGACACAGCTGTGTCTACACTAGGCATGAGAAGGGCACAAGCATGGTGCGGGGGAGGGGGGTGTTACCAGAATGCCATAGCTCTGTCAACGTAAATTTTAATAATTAACCTCTTGCATTTTATTCTTCCCCTTTCCGGTAAAATCCCCTTGGACTTCCTGTTTCACTGAAGCAGTCCTAGAAGGCATCACAATACACCTGGGTTCAGTGAGACACTTAGTAGTGTGATTGTATGTTCTGGAATCTCTTCAGTGAAAAAAAGAAAAAAGGGGAAGGGAGAGAGTTTTGGCAAGCCAATGAATGATGTTTGGTGGTTAGGAAAGTAATCTAGGAGTCGGCAGACCCAGATTCAGTTCTTTACTACACCTCATGCTCCTGGTGTGACCCCAGGCAAGTTAATCTCTCTGTGCATCACTACCCATTTGAAAGATGAGGGTAACAGAACTTTTCCATACCCCATTGGGGCATTCTGAGGACTACAGCAAAGAGGACTAAAGCACCAGACAAGAGAGTTATCCCTGTGCTCACTGCCTAATTTCCTGTCTTCTTGATGTATTAAGCATATAATTCTTGCTGCTTTTTTGCAATTTATGTTTACCCAGATTTTGGGTCTAGAGACGTTATCAGATTTGAATAAAAAGCAAAGCAGGCTATTTTAGCA